AGGAAGCCTGCTCAGAGAAGTGTTTGAAGCAGCGCCAGAGCACGATAAGGCCCTTGGCTTTGGGCACCTTAGTGCTCCTAACGCAAGCAATAGTACAATGGTCGCTGATATCATTAGGAAAAACACCAACAGACACGTACTTATGAGCTGCATTTTTTAGAATTACATCTATAAGAGTATCGTTATTGGGTTTGGCAGGGTTTATTCTAGTGGGACCATCAATAAGCTGAGTTAAGTTCAAAGAATCACAAACCTGCTTAAACTGTGAAGATGTATCACTCAACCAGTCCCAATTTAAATCACCCAATAATATGATTTCAGAAGAAAACGTAGACAACAATTCAGTAAGGCTAGTAGTTGCATCCATGATGGCCGATGGAGGCCTATAACAGCCAATAACAGTGAGAGGAGCATTTGCTATAGTTAGTTGGACTGCTAGAAACTCAAATTGCCTTGGAATTGAAATTGAGTGAAGGACTGAGCACTGTAGTTTCTCAGCAGTGTATATTGCAACACCACCAGCTCTGCCCTTACGATCCGCTCTGAATACATTATATCCATCAATGTGAATAACAGAGTCAGTGACGGTTTTAACCAGGTTTCAGAAACTACAACAATATCAGGCTTAGCAACTAAAAACCAGGTCTTGAAAACATCTAATTTGGGCACTGGCTTCTAGCATTAACATGCAGAAAACCCAATCCTTGCCTACAGCTAAACTCATTCGGAGTTGGCAAATGATGCAGGGAAGCAGAGAAACACTCAGGACCAGGGTTAATGTTAACGTTACCAGAGAGCAATAGCAGTAACCATATTAAAGAGGTTTATCGAGCAATTGCACAGCTAGCTGATAATAAAGCATGCGGCTCTGACCGAATCACTGCAGAGCACCTTAAACTGGCAAGCCCGAAGGTTGCAGTTCTTCTTGCCATTTGTTTTACCGGCCTCATGACTCATGGTATGTTGCCAGACTCCATGTTGACTGTTACTTTGGTCCCTGTCATTAAGGACAAAGCGGGCAAGGTAGGGAGCTTGGATAACTATAGACCAATTGCTCTAGCCAGTGTGTTATCCAAAGTCTTGGAAATAATTTTGTTAGATAGACTATGTTCCTATTTATGTACCTCAGATAACCAGTTTGGCTTCAAGGCTAAGCATGGTACTGAGCTATGCATCTATGCTTTGAAGGAAATGGTAGAAACATATAGAAGACAGAATTCCACTGTTCTGATTGGTTTCATTGATGCCTCTAAGGCTTTTGACCGAGTTAACCACCATAAACTGTTTTTAAAATTGAGACAAAGGGGTGTGCCTAACAGTATAATTAGGATCCTGGCTTATTGGTATGCCAACCAGAGCATGCGGATCAAATGGGGGAATGCAGTCTCTGCGCCATTTGGTGTTGGTAATGGAGTCCGCCAGGGGGGGCTCCTCTCACCGTGCCTTTTTAATATCTATATGAATGATCTATCAGATGATTTAAGTGTCTGTAAAACAGGGTGTGTGATTGGTAATGTGATTGTAAACCATCTTATGTATGCCGATGATCTGGCTATTGTTTCTCCTAGCAGTGCTGGTTTTCAACAGTTGCTAAATGTTTGTTCTGATTACGGAGTCACATTTGACGTTAAATACAATACTAAGAAGAGCGCTGTAATGATCTGCAGAGCAAAAGGGGATAAGAACCTTTGTTTTCCAACATTCTACCTGTCAGGACAGGTGCTGTCTGTTTGCTGTAACACTAAGTACCTGCTGTCTGTTTGCTGTAACACTAAGTACCTGCTGTCTGTTTGCTGTAACACTAAGTATCTACTGTCTATTAGCTGTAACACTAAGTACCTGGGACACATCATCACAGATGAAATGGCTGATGATGAGGACATGTATAGACAGCGGCGTGTCTTATATATGCAAGCCAACATGTTGGCTAGAAAACTCTCTTGGTGTTCAGATAAGGTTAAGGTGAACCTCTTTAGAGCTTATTGCACTCCTCTCTATACTGCCCCCTTGTGGGTCAAGTATAAGAAGGCGAGCCTCAAGAAGCTCCAGGTTGCATATAATGACTGTTTGCGTATACTGCTTAGAAAACCAAGGTGGTGCAGTGCGAGTGAAATGTTCTGTAACGCACGAGTCAACACGTTCCATGCTCTTTTGAGAAATCGAATGTACAAATTCATCTGTCGATTGAATGTTTCTCATAACTCTGTCATTATGCTGCTTTCAAATCCGTGTTTCAGTGCTGTACGATACCAGTCACCTCTGTGGAAACATTGGTATAACTGCCTTTTTTAATTTATATTTGAGTGTTGTATGTTTTTGTAATAATGGACCAAGAGTCTCTTTAAATAAAAGATGATGATGATGAATATTAACAGTCTGGAAGATGATTTTTTCACATGGGCTCTGGATGCGTCACTCCGTCAGCAAGCATGCTAACACTCAGAGCTAACCATGGAGCTAACGCTGTATGGCTACAGGAGAGAATATGTAAAAATAAACCCTGTGAACTTTGGAAATTACTCAATAACCAGCTTGGCTGCAGTAAAAAACTCAAAACGAGATTTTCGAACTTAAACATAAAGACAGATAACAGGCTCATCACAGACAAACTGGATGTGGCCAAGTACTTGCCATTTTTTTTCACAAACATAGCCACAACTCTTGTAAATAAATGACCCTCCCACTCAGGGCTTTTTGGAGTAGATCACATCATGACCTACTACAAAAACCTAGGGGTACGCAAAGATGATTTCAGTCTAGCAAGGGTAACAACAGCAGAGGTACTCATTAAACTGAGCGCCCTCCAACCTAACAAGGCCACTGGCCACGCCACGACAATATCCCCTCCAAATTCCTCAGAGACACAGCAACCGCCATCTCACCAGTCATAGCTCACATAATTAACCTCTCCATAAAACAGGGACACGTACCCAAAGACTTCAAAATTGCAAGAGTAACCCCCCTGCACAAAAAGGGCAGCAAATTGGACCCAGGCAACTACCGCCCTGTTTCTATACTTACCTCCATCTCGAAAGTCATGGAAAAAATAGTATATGAACAGGTCGAAAAGTACCTCGCGGAAAAGAAACTAATCTATGAATTTCAATCTGGCTTTAGAACATCCCACTCCACTGACACATGCCTTCTTTATTTGAGCGACCACATCAAACAAGAGGTGGACGAGGGCAAGTACTGCGGCATGGTGATGCTGGACCTACAAAAGGCTTTCGACACTGTCAATCACCCCATTCTGATTGACAAGCTAAAAGCAATTGGTTTTGATAAACTATCGGTGAGCTGGATGCAATCCTACCTGGAGGGGAGAGAACAGATGGTGGAGGTAAACGGTACTCTGTCGTCCCCCCTCCCAGTGAGCTGTGGTGTTCCACAAGGAAGCATATTAGGTCCGTTACTGTTCCTAATTTATGCAAATGACATGTCATCAGCATGTGACTGCAACTTGTTCCTGTTCCCGGACGACTCAGCCCTGCTGGTCTCTGGCAGGAACAGGTTGCAGGTTGAAAAAACCCTCAGCTCCGAGCTCGGCAGAATCTGCACCTGGCTCGCCGATAATAAATCATCATTACACCTGGGTAAAACAGAGTCCATTCTCTTCGGTTCGAAACATAATCTCAGCAAATCCGACGACTTCTCAGTTGCAGTGGGCGACATTATTGTCACAAGTAAGAAGGAAATGACATACCTAGGATCTATTCTTGAGGCAAACCTCTCCTGTGATCAAATGGCATCCAATGTAATAAAAAAAGTCAATCAAAGAACTAGATTCCTATACCGGATCTCCTCTCTGGTAAACAAGAACACCCTGAAGACTCTGGCAGGAGCACTCATTCAAGGGTACTATGACTATGCTTGCACGTCATGGTACCATAGCACCTCCAAGGCGCTAAAAATAAAACTTCAAACATCGCAAAATAAACTGGTCAGACTACTGCTTGACCTTTCATCTAGAACCCACCTCACCTCTGCCCACTTTGACAACCTAGGATGGCTTAGAGTAGACGACAGAGTACAGCTACTTGCAATGGGCCTGGTCTACAAGATCCACTACACCTCTATGGTACCCATGTACATGTCAACATTCTTCCCAAAGGTCAAGGAATACCATGATCATAACACCAGAGGGAGCTCCACAAATCATGTGAAACCCAGATTTGGCACAAAAAAGGGGGAATACACGTTTCGCAATGATGCCACATCAAGGTGGAACGCTCTTCCCACAACTGTAAAGGAAAGTCAAACTATACTTACCTTCAAAACCTCTCTTAAAGAGCACCTTCGGGGGAGAGCATTGCAAAACTGGCCCCGGTAATGGAACAAATCTCAACCTGTCGTTCAATGGACAGCTTCCCCCCCCCCCATCTATGTATATACTCGCATTTTAGACTCTGTTACTAACTGTATATCTGTAGACTTGGTATGTCTTAAATGTCCGGTTAGGATGTATTAGAACGAAATCTAAAATGAAAATTGTAAATAAGCAATCTGTATGTAAAATATGTCTTATATGTCTTAAATGACATGATGAATTGGAAATGGGGGACCCTGATGTAAACAAGACGAAAGTCTTTCTCTGGTCTGCATCCCCTTAACAATTGTATGTTTTGAGCTGTACTGTACTGTACCCAATATACAAGCTGTTAATACACTTTTCAATCAATCAATCAATCAAAGCAGAATCAGCCTGTTTGGATCAGGGCTGCAAAAGAGGGGGCCTGGCTACAATGAGTGATCTGTTTGGTATTTTAAGCAAACAGACATGTTTTGTCTAGGTATGGCCCTACACTATATGTTTCCAATATAGCATGATAGGTCCACTTTAATGTTTGTGGGTTTATCTCATTTTAAAACAGCTCTCTCTCTCTCTCTCTCTCTCTCTCTGTGTGTTCTCTGTTGTTCTCTCTCTCTCTGTTGTTCTCTCTCTCTCTCTCTCTCTCTCTCTCTCTCTCTCTCTCTCTCTCTCTCTCTCTCTCAGGTCAGGTGTCCACATTTTCCAGATGATGTCCGGCTGTGATTGGGATGATGAGACTGGTGAGGTCAAAGGTTATAAACACTATGGTTTTGATGGAGAAGACTTCCTGATACTGGACCTGGAGACAGAGTCATGGATCGCTCCAAAACCAGAGGCTGTCTTCACCAAACAGAGGTTGAATAAGGACAAAGCTTTGATGGCATTCAACAAGTACATATACACCCAGGAGTGTCCTGAATATCTGAAGAAGTATGTGAACCTGGGGAGGAGCTCTCTGATGAGAACAGGTAGAGTCACATGACCTGATGGACTTTCATAAACACCTCCATGTTCATGTCTCCTGTGTTTCTGACAGACAGACTGACGCATTACAGCACATGTCAACAACATGAGACACTGTGTCTCACTTTGTCTCACACTGTGTCTCACTCTATCTCACTCTGTGTCTCACTCTGTCTCACACTTAGTCTCACTCTGTGACTCACGCTCTGTCTCACTCTGTGTCTCACTCTGTCTCACTCTGTGTCTCACACTTCGCCTAGCTCTGTGTCTCACTATGTGTCTCACACTTTGTCTCACTCTGTGTCTCAAACTGTGTCTCAAACTGTGTCTCACTCTGTGTCTCACTATGTGTCTCACTATGTGTCTCACTATGTGTCTCACTCTGTCTCACACTTAGTCTCACTCTGTATCTCACTCTGTCTCACTCTGTGTCTCACTCTGTGTCTCACTGTGTCTCACGATGTGTCTCACACTGTCTCACTCTGTGTCTCACTCTGTGTCTCACTCTGTCTCATACTGTCTCACTCTGTCTCACTCTGTCTCACACACACCGTGTCTCAGTCTGTGTTTCACTCTGTATCTCACACTGTCTCACTCTGTTTCTCAAACTGTGTCTCACACTGTCTCACTCTGTCTCACACACTGTGTCTCAGTCTGTGTTTCACTCTGTCTCCCACTTTGTCTCACTCTGTGTTTGACTCTGTCTCACACTTAGTATCACTCTGTGTCTCACACTGTGTCTCACTATTGGTGCTTTTCCACTGCAGGGCCTCGCTCGGCTTAGTACGGTATGGCTAGGCCTCGTTAGGCCTTGTTAGGCCAGGCTCACTTTATGCTGCGTTCCCATTACTGGGGCAGTAACTATAGTAACGCAGTGTAGGCGGAGCCGTGACGTCATCTTCAATTCGAAACACAAAACCAACATCAGCCGTTAGCTGTTAGCACTCAGAGCTCACAGCTCCTCATATCTGTTCAGAAACTAGACAAAAGTTAAACAAGTACAAACCACAGACTGTCTGTGTCATGGAGAATACAGTCTCTGGTTTATTTATATCTGTAGGCCGTTGTTGTGAGTGAGGACGGTCGGAGCATATACTGCGTTAGCTTAGCCGATCTCCATTTAGAAAACACGCATTTGAAAAGGTGTTTCTCTGCCGTCTGTCTGCAGACTTGTCAAAGCATTAACTCATGGTTTTTACTAACCGGTATCAGTATGTTGTTACTTCGGCATCATTTTGAAACGTGTATTACAATTAAATCACGGTCAAATATGTTCATCTTGTTGTAGTTGCCAGCGATTCTCTCATTAATTTAGCATACTCAAACCTCAAACCTCAAACCTCGACACACTTAGTCTCCCTCTGTGTCTCACTCTGTGTCACACTGTGTCTCACTATGTGTCTCACTCTGTGTCTCACACTTAGTCTCACTATGTGTCTCACTCTGTGTCTCACACTTAGTCTCACTCTGTGACTCACTCTGTGACTCATACTTAGTCTCACTATGTGTCTCACTCTGTGTCTCACACTTAGTCTCACTCTGTGACTCACTCTGTGACTCATACTTAGTCTCACTATGTGTCTCACTCTGTGTCTCACACTTAGTCTCACTCTGTGACTCACTCTGTGACTCACACTTAGTCTCACTATGTGTCTCACTCTGTGTCTCACACTTAGTCTCACTCTGTGACTCACTCTGTGACTCACACTTAGTCTCACTATGTGTCTCACTCTGTGTCACACTGTGTCTCACTATGTGTCTCACACTTAGTCTCACTCTGTGACTCACTCTGTGACTCACTCTGTGACTCACACTTAGTCTCACTATGTGTCTCACTCTGTGTCATACTGTGTCTCACTATGTGTCTCACTCTTAGTCTCACTATGTGACTCACACTTAGTCTCACTCTGTGACTCACACTTAGTCTCCCTCTGTGACTCACACTTAGTCTCACTCTGTGACTCACACTTAGTCTCACTCTGTGACTCACTCTGTGTCTCACTCTATCTCACTCTGTGTCTCACTCTGTCTCACACTTAGTCTCACTCTGTGACTCACGCTCTGTCTCACTCTGTGTCTCACTCTGTCTCACTCTGTGTCTCACACTTCGCCTAGCTCTGTGTCTCACTATGTGTCTCACACTTTGTCTCACTCTGTGTCTCAAACTGTGTCTCAAACTGTGTCTCACTCTGTGTCTCACTCTGTGTCTCACTATGTGTCTCACTATGTGTCTCACTCTGTCTCACACTTAGTCTCACTCTGTATCTCACTCTGTCTCACTCTGTGTCTCACTCTGTGTCTCACTGTGTCTCACGATGTGTCTCACACTGTCTCACTCTGTGTCTCACTCTGTCTCGCTCTGTCTCATACTGTCTCACTCTGTCTCACTCTGTCTCACACACACCGTGTCTCAGTCTGTGTTTCACTCTGTATCTCACACTGTCTCACTCTGTTTCTCAAACTGTGTCTCACACTGTCTCACTCTGTCTCACACACTGTGTCTCAGTCTGTGTTTCACTCTGTCTCCCACTTTGTCTCACTCTGTGTTTGACTCTGTCTCACACTTAGTATCACTCTGTGTCTCACACTGTGTCTCACTATTGGTGCTTTTCCACTGCAGGGCCTCGCTCGGCTTAGTACGGTATGGCTAGGCCTCGTTAGGCCTTGTTAGGCCAGGCTCACTTTATGCTGCGTTCCCATTACTGGGGCAGTAACTATAGTAACGCAGTGTAGGCGGAGCCGTGACGTCATCTTCAATTCGAAACACAAAACCAAGATCAGCCGTTAGCTGTTAGCACTCAGAGCTCACAGCTCCTCATATCTGTTCAGAAACTAGACAAAAGTTAAACAAGTACAAACCACAGACTGTCTGTGTCATGGAGAATACAGTCTCTGGTTTATTTATATCTGTAGGCCGTTGTTGTGAGTGAGGACGGTCGGAGCATATACTGCGTTAGCTTAGCCGATCTCCATTTAGAAAACACGCATTTGAAAAGGTGTTTCTCTGCCGTCTGTCTGCAGACTTGTCAAAGCATTAACTCATGGTTTTTACTAACCGGTATCAGTATGTTGTTACTTCGGCATCATTTTGAAACGTGTATTACAATTAAATCACGGTCAAATATGTTCATCTTGTTGTAGTTGCCAGCGATTCTCTCATTAATTTAGCATACTCAAACCTCAAACCTCAAACCTCGACACACTTAGTCTCCCTCTGTGTCTCACTCTGTGTCACACTGTGTCTCACTATGTGTCTCACTCTGTGTCTCACACTTAGTCTCACTATGTGTCTCACTCTGTGTCTCACACTTAGTCTCACTCTGTGACTCACTCTGTGACTCATACTTAGTCTCACTATGTGTCTCACTCTGTGTCTCACACTTAGTCTCACTCTGTGACTCACTCTGTGACTCATACTTAGTCTCACTCTGTGTCTCACACTTAGTCTCACTCTGTGTCTCACTCTGTGACTCACTCTGTGACTCATACTTAGTCTCACTCTGTGTCTCACACTTAGTCTCCCTCTGTGTCTCACTCTGTGTCACACTGTGTCTCACTATGTGTCTCACTCTGTGTCTCACACTTAGTCTCACTATGTGTCTCACTCTGTGTCTCACACTTAGTCTCACTCTGTGACTCACTCTGTGACTCATACTTAGTCTCACTATGTGTCTCACACTTAGTCTCACTCTGTGACTCACTCTGTGACTCACACTTAGTCTCACTATGTGTCTCACTCTGTGTCTCACACTTAGTCTCACTCTGTGACTCACTCTGTGACTCACACTTAGTCTCACTATGTGTCTCACTCTGTGTCACACTGTGTCTCACTATGTGTCTCACACTTAGTCTCACTCTGTGACTCACTCTGTGACTCACACTTAGTCTCACTATGTGTCTCACTCTGTGTCATACTGTGTCTCACTATGTGTCTCACTCTTAGTCTCACTCTGTGACTCACACTTAGTCTCCCTCTGTGACTCACACTTAGTCTCACTCTGTGACTCACTCTGTGACTCACTCTGTGTCTCACTCTGTGACTCACTCTGTGTCTCACACTTAGTCTCACTCTGTGTCTCACTATGTGTCTCACTCTGTGTCTCACTATGTGTCTCACTCTGTGTCTCACACTTAGTCTCACTCTGTGACTCACTCTGTGACTCACTCTGTGTCTCACTCTGTGTCACACTGTGTCTCACTCTGTGTCTCACACTTAGTCTCACTCTGTGTCTCCCTCTGTGTCTCACTATGTGTCTCACTCTGTGTCTCACACTTAGTTTCACTCTGTGACTCACTCTGTGTCTCTCTCTGTGTCACACTGTCTCACAGTTAGTCTCACTCTGTGTCTCACACTTAGTCTCACTATGTGTCTCACTCTGTGTCTCACACTTAGTCTCACTATGTGTTTCACTCTGTGTCTCACACTTAGTCTCACTCTGTGACTCACTCTGTGTCTCACTCTGTGTCTCACACTTAGGCCCAATCCCAAACCACTCCCTCGACCCTACCCCTCCGTGATGGAGCGAACTCTGTCTGTAGCCACACTCGCAGCTCAACGAGGCTCCTCCTGTCAGAGGGAGTAAACACAGCAGCAAGCTTTGGGACGGCCTCCCCTCTCTCCGGCAGAAACAGGAAATGCCGTAACTGTATTTAACAACGGTTTCAAATCAGCATCTCTTTGACAACAAGTTTAAATGAATAACTCAAATAAAACTCCAAACATCTTTCATTGTGTTTCAAAGCTCTTTTAGTTTTAAACCTGATGTTTATAAGCTTCTCAGTTTTTGCAACGGTCTGTAAATATACACAACTTTATAATAAAATGCACACATTTACCTTTTTCTAGACTAAACACAGGTTTGATCCTAAGTTAAAAACATATGAGGTTATCATGAGGTTGTTAACATCGCAGTTTATCAGTGGATGTTTGCTGGAACTACTTGTAAACAGCGTGTTTCCTGACGGACACACACAGCGTGACTCCGGTCAGGTAGAGACCGGTCTCAAGTCAGAGGGCTTGATAGCCCACTCCCCCTCCACACTCGTTGCTTTGGAACAGCCCTCAATATGGCGGACCCTCCGCGTGAACGTGCAAACGGAGGGGTAGGGTGTAGGGGGCGGTTTGGGAATGGGCCTTAGTCTCACTCTGTGTCTCACTATGTGTCTCACACACTGTCTCACATTAGGGCTGTGCAATTAATCATATTTTAATCTCGATTACGATTTTGGCTTGCAACGATTATGAAAACGTCATCGAAATAAAACGATTATTTTGCTGCATTCCATTTCGCAATGATGCTCTCAATTTGTCTTGCGTTATACATCCTACCGTTTACATGCAGAAGCTACAGAACACACAAGGGGACGGGTAATAACCAGAAAAGCATAAGATATATTAAAAAAACTGGAACTATAAAAAGTTTGGTTTATTTCTTTAATAAAGAACTTAAAGTGTTATTTTATAATCAGACGTGTTGGAATTAACTTTCTTTTGATCATCTATTCAGTGAATGGTGCTATAGCTCTACACAGTGCAGGGGAGATAATCTCATCTGTTGCTCTGCTACTTATTTTGGGATCAAACTTAATATTCTTGTCGATATAGATTAAGTAATGACTATTTTTCAGATAGATAAATGAACTGTTTACACATTTAAATGTCAAGAAATAGAAAAAATCTTAATTCCAAAAGTCTAAGAGGAGATATTCAACGTGCTTCTTTAATCTGAACAACACTAAACAGTATTTGATATTAAATTATATAAAACAGAAGAAAGTCTTTATTTAACAATTTGACTGAAGCACTGACTCTACAATATATTCTCCCTCAGTGATGCTCACAGTAGGGGTGCATACCGGTTCCCGGTATTACCGAAATAGCGGTTACTGGCGGCTACGGTATACCGTACCAAAATCAGATCCGGTTTTCGATACTCACATTTTCTTTTTTAATAAAGTGAGGCGTAATACCCTTAAACTCGCGCCCAAACCGCCAGCCAATCAGATTGCGCGTCTTGCAACGGCTTCTGTGATTGTCTTGATTGCCAAGCAACGCCCTTCACCTTCCTCCCGAACGTCTGAGCCTTTCGGTTAGCTTTCGTTTTTTCATTAGCTCGATGTCGGCACGAAAATCTTAAGTGTGGCTGCATATGACTGCCAGTCTGAATGGTGGGGTCTGTAACCACTGCCAGTCTGAATGGTGGGGTCTGTAACCACTACCAGTCTGATGGTGGGGGTCTGTAACGACTACCAGTCTGAAATGGTGGGGGGCTGTAACCACTACCAGTCTGATGGGGGGGTCTGTAACCACTGCCAGTCTGAATGGTGGGGTCTGTAACCGACTGCCAGTCTGAATGGTGGGGTCTGTAACCACTGCCAGTCTGAATGGTGGGGTCTGTAACCACTGCCAGTCTGAATGGGTGGGGTCTGTAACCACTGCCAGTCTGAATGGTGGGGTCTGTAACCACTGCCAGTCTGATGGTGGGGTCTGTTAACCAATGCCAGTCTGATGGTGGGGTCGAAGACCACTGCCAGTCTGATGGTGGGGTCTGTAACCACTGCCAGTCTGATGGTGGGGTCTGTAACCACTGCCAGTCTGAATGGTGGGGTCCTGTAACCACTGCCAGTCTGATGGTGGGGTCTGTAACCACTGCCCAGTCTGATGGTGGGGTCTGTAACCACTGCCAGTCTGATGGTGGGGTCTGTAACCACTGCCAGTCTGATGGTGGGGTCTGTAACCACTGCCAGTCTGATGGTGGGGTCTGTAACCACTGCCAGTCTGATGTGGGGTCTGTAACGACTGCAAGAAGTTTATTTCTGGGAAAGGCGGCAACATATCAAACCTCAAAACATTTGCTACTGTCACATAACATCAGAGTACAGGAATGTACAGTCTTCAAGCCTGTGTTGTCAAACTTGTTTTTCATTGTTTGTTCAGTACTAAAAGGTTGAAGTCCCACAATTAATTTTAATATTCATTTGACATGTAAACTATATCATAAAGCGCTTCATGGGAGTGATTGCAGGATGATTCAATTGTTCCCTTATGCAACATGAAAGTATCACGATATGCATCGGTCGAGTATCGGTATCGTTCAGTGGTATCGGTATCGTACAAAAGTCAACGATATGCAACCCTAGCTCACAGTGCATCATAAGTCCCTGTAGTGATATCACTGTGAGTCAATAACCTCTGAAGTGTGTTTGTGCAGAGATCCCCTCAGTGTCTCTGCTCCAGAAGTCCCCCTCCTCTCCAGTCAGCTGCCATGCTACAGGTTTCTACCCGGACAGAGCCATCATGTTCTGGACCAGAGACGGAGAGGAGCTTCACGACAACGTGGACCACGGAGAGATCCTGCCCAACCACGACGGATCCTTCCAGATGAGCGTGGACCTGGACGTCTCCTCATTCCCCGCTGAACACTGGGACAAGTTCCGATGTGTGTTCCAGCTCTCTGGGGTGAAGGAGGACCACATCATCGTACTGGACCCAGCTGTGATCAGGACCAACAGAGGTATAAGACTGCATCACAACTGCTCAACGGTTACTAACAACCAACAGACCCTGACAACATGTCATAGTCTCTCTCCCCTGAAACATGGGTCTCAGGGGAGAGACACTAAGAATGGTTCAAGACAAACCCAGCATGACACCACGAGGAGGAAGGGGCCCTTCAGGAGCCTCAGACCTGATGCCCATCCTGAAGAAGCTTCCTTCCTCCGTTCAGATTGAGACTTCCTGTTGTTTCTGCTCCTCAGGGAATCCCCTCCTCCTCCCCCTCATCATCGGTGCTGCAGTGGCTGCTCTCGCTCTCCTCCTCGCTGGGATTGGATTCCTGGTTTACAGGAAGAGGAACGGTGAGAGACCAATCAGAAACCTTGTCTCATGAGTTCTCAGGGTTGTTAATGTCAGGCTTTGAGGTAGCAGATCAGACTCAGAGCTCAGTGTGATGTTGATATGGAAAGCACTTGGTGTGTTCTCTACAGGGATACTCAGTGTTCGTTCCTTGTTGTGTACGGGGCGCTGGATTGAAACTCTTTCTCTGCTTTTCCTTTCAGCCAATAAAAACACTCCCTCTCCTGCCTCCAGCGCTGAGCTCACTGAGAGACTGAACCAGCCACCACAGTGAGGTGCTTCACATCAACTCTCCACCTGTTGTTACAGAGCTGCCCTCTTTATTAATAATAATAATAATAACTTGAATTTATATAGCGCCTTTCATAACCTCAAGGTCACTTATTATTATTAGGGCTGTTCAAATGAATTGTTTCTTTGATGCATTGAGATGCGGACGTGGACGATTCTGCATCGATGCAGAGACAGAACATAATCGATTATAGCGTAGTGATGTTGCTTCTGGATTTTCCGTTAATTCACAGCAGAGTTTATTCTCCCGTTAACTCACGGCAGCTGGAAAGTATTCTCTGTCTGACTGTCACACAGCAGCTGATAAATACCACCCCCCCCCCCCCCTATGAATTGACGCTGTTTGGCATCACAACGCTGTTATGAAAGTTTCTCTGGTATAAAATGGGTGATGTTGGCATAGCAACCGAAGCTAAACTGACTATCTTGACTACTTGTTGCTATCCTATTGTGGCACAAGCCGTTTTCTACAGGCACATTTTACCGGCGTATTTTTCATAATTATTCTACTTTAGGGTGACCAGACGTCCCCGTTTTCCGGGGACAGTCCCCGTTTGTATTGGCCTGTCCCCGGTTTAAACTGTCCCCGGAAATGTCTCCATTTTTTAATATACGTTAAAAACACATAGCAAGGTGAAATAAAACGTTTCATGTCAGGAAACACTGGGCGAACAGACTGCGGTCAAGCCAGCCCCCACTTCGGAAAACTCAGTCAAGCCAGCCCGCACGTTGTATTGCGGTGCGCGAATATCCTATGCATTACGGTAGAGGCCTGTAAAAACTGCCTTCAAAATAAAAGCGTTTACTCGGTCAATAACAAATATTCCTAAAAAACACACCAAACATATTCATATATACTGGAGCTTAAATTAAGAAATATGTACAATATAATGTGATCAATAATAATTTAAAACAAACTACGTATAACTACCACATTATAACTGAGTGAATGTAAAATGTAAGGATACAGTTATGAAGACATATCTGACATTTCCACTGGGTGACTCATTTCAATTGATGTTGACACCATCTCACAACACTCCTAAAATAACATTACTTTCTGAAGAACAATTTAAAATGTATGCTGTTTAAAATCTCAGATTAGATCTATTGTCCAAAATGTCCATCTATATTTTTGATTATTATTGAATGGAAACGGTCCATAATCAAAGAGTCATTCGAAGTCAATCAAATACTTATTTCACTCCAGGGTGATAGCAGGAGACCCCATCTAGTCACTCAGAGAGAATCAAGAAAATCTGATGTAGAGTTTCAAAATAAAAGACCTTGGCAGTCTCATATATGAGCTATCGTCCTTCTGTTTGTATCCAACAGTTAAAATGTTCAAATTAAATTGAACCAGAATTGTTCCCCTTTTTTCATTAACAGTTAGAAAATTGGATGTTAATGATATTTTGACAGCAAAAATCAAAATGTCCCCGGTTTTAATTTTGAAAATCTGGTCACCTTATTCTACTTGTGATAGTCGGACATGAAAACCTGTGCAGCCCATGAATTGATTCCATCCGATAGCTGCTATATTACAAAACAAAACGTCTGCCTCTCTCCACGATGATCAATGACAGCGAACGGATGGTCAAAGTAAGGTACAAATAAACAGAATCACACTTCGCGTCGGGATCCTGATCAGAAGGGTGTTCTTCATATTAACCGTCTCACTGCACATTATCCCGCTTATTACACGGCCACATTCTCAACAAAGTAACGATATGACTCCCAATATTAATTGAAATGATTTTATAGATTTAGAAATTGTTTTTATTGATTTAAAAAATAGTATTATTGATTTCAATTTAAAATGACATGCATCCGCTAAGAAAAATAGTCCGTTGTTACTGTTTGAACTAACGTAGCAACGGCAGGAACTGCTTCAATATGAGGAGCTTTTTGATTAAAGATTTGAAAACATTGCTGCTTGCTTTAAAAGAAGCACAATTCCTGATGTCAAACCTTGGAGAGTATCTAGATATCCCTGCCCTGATGCCAAAGGAACTGCACACTGAATATGTGTCGCCGTTTGATGTCTGTGTCTGGACCGCTGCGTAAAACGGACCGCAGCTCCGTGTTGAGGGTTTCTGCCCCGTCACTTCTCCGCTGTTTTCTTGTCCCTCTTGTCTTCTTCTTTTCCTCACTGGGGACTCATCAGCCACTAAATATTCATCCAAATTACTGTGCTCTCTAAATATATTAAAATGAATCTTAAAATCCTCCATGTTGCTTTCAGACAGGAGACAACGGAAAACTAAAGACAAGCCAACAGTTTGAAAAGCAAACTGCACACAGTGAAATCGACCGCACTTCTTTCGATGTGAATCCCTGACAGTGGTCTGTACTACTGGATTAACAATGTGTCACGTGTTCTGAATTGACCAATCAGAATCGAGTATTCAACTAAACCATGTAATAAGCCTGGTTAGTGTTGCCTTTATAAAGTGTGTTTTTTTGGCCCTGGAACCGGTTTGGTGGAAAGGGGCATGGGTGGTGTTTAGAGAAGTGTGTGTTATCTAGCAGCGAGTGATCTTGGTGGTGTTGGTGGTGTTTAGAGAAGTGTGTGTTATCTAGCAGCGAGTGATCTTGGTGGTGTGGGTGGTGTTTAGAGAAGTGTGTGTTATCTAGCAGCGAGTGATCTTGGTGGTGTGGGTGGTGTTTAGAGAAGTGTGTGTTATCTAGCAGCGAGTGATCTTGGTGGTGTGGGTGGTGTTTAGAGAAGTGTGTGTTATCTAGCAGCGAGTGATCTTGGTGGTGTTGGTGGTGTTTAGAGAAGTGTGTGTTATCTAGCAGCGAGTGATCTTGGTGGTGTGGGTGGTGTTTAGAGAAGTGTGTGTTATCTAGCAGCGAGTGATCTTGGTGGTGTGGGTGGTGTTTAGAGAAGTGTGTGTTATCTAGCAGCGAGTGATCTTGGTGGTGTTGGTGGTGTTTAGAGAAGTGTGTGTTATCTAGCAGCGAGTGATCTTGGTGGTGTGGGTGGTGTTTAGAGAAGTGTGTGTTATCTAGCAGCGAGTGATCTTGGTGGTGTTGGTGGTGTTTAGAGAAGTGTGTGTTATCTAGCAGCGAGTGATCTTGGTGGTGTGGGTGGTGTTTAGAGAAGTGTGTGTTATCTAGCAGCGAGTGATCTTGGTGGTGTGAGTGGTGTTTAGAGAAGTGTGTGTTATCTAGCAGCGAGTGATCTTGTTTCCCTTGAGCTTTTCTAAATGAATCAGAAGTGTGTTTCTTTATTTCTAACATGTCTCTTGAATTGGTTTTAAAACATGGTGTTTGTGATTTTGATAATGTTGCTATTATTTAGGGGCAGGGAGGTTTTGTGTACGTAGCCAGCGCACTGTGACGTTCTCTTTAGTTTGAGGTTCAGAGGTGAGCGTGACATGAAGTCGCTCTGCATTGTTAACCCTTTCCTGTCCGTGTTTCTCTTTCCAATAAAAACCATCTCCCAAATGTCCGTCTTCTCGTCTTTCCATAAACACATGTATTGGTTTCTACTAGCGTCTCAGACACTAGAGGAACGTGGATTTGATGTGGAACTAGAGATCCAATGGTTTACTGCTTTCTGAAAGAAACACATGGAAATGTTCTCTAATGGAGGAACATGGAACAAAGTAACTCTGAGTGATGTGTTGATCTCTCTCATGTGTGTGTTATCAGTGTGTGTCGCTGCACTCAGCTGTTCTCAGAGCTCCTGCTTCAGAAACCTGTTGAGGTGAAATCTGCCCGGCAACTGATGACGTTACCATGACGACTGGGAATAACACAGTTCTGTGTTGTTAGGAACATTTAGTGAGGCTCAAACATTACCTTTGGGTTTTGATCTAAAGTCATTTCCATCAGAGACACGTTCACTTACAAACTCAATCACATTTAGAAATCTGTCAATACTTCCTTTAGTTACCTTAACTTATTGATCACCTTTAGTTACCTTTCCATATCGATCACCTTTAGTTACCTTTCCTTATTGACCACCTTTAGTTACCTTTCCTTATTGATCACCTTTAGTTACCTTTCCTTATTGATCACCTTTAGTGACCTTTCCATATCGATCACCTTTAGTTACCTTTCCTTATTGATCACCTTTAGTTACCTTTCCTTATTGATCACCTTTAGTTACCTTTCCTTATTGATCACCTTTAGTTACCTTTCCTTATTGATCACCTTAGTTACCTTTCCTTATTGATCACCTTTAGTTACCTTTCAATATTGATCACCTTTAGTTACCTTTCCTTATTGATCACCTTTAGTTACCTTTCCTTATTGATCACCTTTAGTTACCTTTCCTTATTGATCACCTTTAGTTACCTTTCCTTATTGATCACCTTTAGTTACCTTTCCATATCGATCACCTTTAGTTACCTTTCCTTATTGATCACCTTTAGTTACCTTTCCTTATTGATCACCTTTAGTTACCTTTCCTTATTGATCACCTTTAGTTACCTTTCCATATTGATTCACCTTTAGTTACCTTTCCTTATTGATCACCTTTAGTTACCTTTCCTTATTGATCACCTTTAGTTACCTTTCCATATCGATCACCTTTAGTTACCTTTTCCATATCGATCACCTTTAGTTACCTTTCCTTATTGATCACCTTTAGTTACCTTTCCTTATTGATCACCTTTAGTTACCTTTCCTTATTGATCACCTTTAGTTACCTTTCCATATCGATCACCTTTAGTTACCTTTCCTTATTGATCACCTTTAGTTACCTTTCCTTATTGATCACCTTTAGTTACCTTTCCTTATTGATCACCTTTAGTTACCTTTCAATATCGATCACCTTTAGTTACCTTTCCTTATCGATCACCTTTAGTTACCTTTCCTTATTGATCACCTTTAGTTACCTTTCCATATTGATCACCTTTAGTTACCTTTCCTTATTGATCACCTTTAGTGACCTTTCCATATCGATCACCTTTAGTTACCTTTCCTTAATGATCACCTTTAGTTACCTTTCCTTATTGATCACCTTTAGTTACCTTTCCATATTGATCACCTTTAGTGACCTTTCCTTGTTGATCACCTTTAGTTACCTTTCCATATCGATCACCTATAGTTACCTTTCCATATTGATCACCTTTAGTTACCTTTCCTTATTGATCACCTTTAGTTACCTTTCCATATTGATCACCTTTAGTTACCTTTCCTTATTGATCACCTTTAGTTACCTTTCCTTATTGATCACCTTTAGTTACCTTTCAATATCGATCACCTTTAGTGACCTTTCCATATCGATCACCTTTAGTTACCTTTCCATATTGATCACCTTTAGTTACCTTT